ATAGAGATGCCATGATCACATGCTTAAGAGAGGTAAACAGTGCTCTCATAACTTCTATCCAACTATTTTACGTGGCAGACCCATTATAACAATGAATGTGAAGTATCTGCTCATAGCTATAGAAGGGATTAAAGATTTCTTAAATCAAGTAAAAGTTTTCTCAACACAACAGGTAGAGGTGATGTAGGCTCGGCGCAGACTGTTGGTTGCACTAGAATGCTATTTGCCACTTACGACTAAGGAATTGTGTTTATAAACCATATTTCGCCTGGTTTTTTTTGTTCCTGTGATAATGGGACTTGGAAGATAAACAGAACGTCAGAACCGTCTCCTTTTGAGGCCCGCGTATTGTGTGATGGCGTCGTGTATACGTGTAAGCTTTGCATAACCGCCATCTAAGATCCACTATCTTTGATTTTACGATTTCTTGAAAACCTCTGAAAACAACCCAAATTGGCCCAAAAATGATAAAAAATAAAGAAGTACTATAAAGATTTCATAAAAAGGCAGATGTTATGGCAATGAACCTAAAAGTCTTTGTCGATATATGTCAATGCAAAATAAAGGTTTAAAAATTCGCGCAAAATTGATGATTTGATTAACATCAAGCCACTTCGCTTGACCAATCAAAGATAAAAGAACTTGACTGATTGTACTAGACGGTTGCTTCAAAGAGAAAATTTCCGGGTATGTGGTTAACCGGGTGTGCTACATTGACTATATTAAGACACAACTATTTGCATAGTTTCTGCTTAACAATACTGCTTTTCTACAAACAGGCGAGCTTAGATGGCTTGACGGGGCCTATACATTTTTCTGAAGATGGTGCACGAACTAGAATTGAACTGGACGTTTTGAATCTTCGAAACAACGTATTTAAAAAAGTAAGTCATTTGTGTCTGTGACAAAACTACAAAAAAGCATCGCAAAATCATTTGCTACTTGTGTTCTGTAGCAAACTTGTTTATCTCATGAAGGGAGTTTGTTTCTTCAATTATGCTATGAATTTTCAGCCCGGAACTATATCGAAAGACAGTGCGCTGGGATGAAAAAAGAAAGGAAGTTAGACATGTATTTCTCAATGTGAGGCACATAGAAGTACGCTACGAGCCACTGGCGTCTAGCGTGACTGATGTTCTTACCACGTTTAGATGTCCTCCTTGCGTTATCAGAGTACGGACGGACGACCCAATGGAATCTGTTCCTTTTATATAGTGGTTTTTACTTTCTTCAAGTCATGACGCCATTTGAGCGTCTGAATTTAAAACGATCAAAACGCGTGGTTTACGCTGTCCACTGTATAACAAGCATTGACACATTGTCATTATTCTTCTCTTTGTTATATCTTGTATTTAGATAGGTACATGGAACGCCACAAAGCGCGCAGTGCTATTTGATAATATGGCACCTAACATGGGTAGCCCAGTTAACGACAGTCTAGAGGGAAGGAAATTCAGAGTTGCCGTCATCGAGGTAAAAGGAGGCTTTAGCAACCAGGACGGAAATGGCAACGAGAACGCCACAAAACAACAGATTTAATTCGAAAAAAGAAAACGTTGGCTTTACATTGCATTTAACATTTTGGTACATTTCTTTGACGTCCTCGGCAAAGCAACGACGTGAAATGACCAAATCTTGGATTTTCTTGATTACATGAGCGCATGACGGCAAATTTTTCTTTCTTATTCCTTTCCGCCAACATTTTCCAAATTGGAAGAATAGCGAAAGTGTTGCAAAAACAAAAAGTCATATTTTGAAATGACGTTTTCGTTGCCGTGGCCATTGCCACTGCCATCGCCGTTGCCGTTGTCGTCGCTAATATAAAGCTCCCTCATACTACAGAGATAACGAAACGACACGATCAATGGGAACAAAAGCGTCATTTCATATTGCCTCAGGTCATTGTACCTACTTTGCGATTATTCAACTCTTTAAACTGGTACTCTGGAACTGAACGCTAACAAACGTTTCCTACAAACGGCGTTGAAGTTAAGGTGGCCGAGCACAGTTTTCGCGCGCGCATTTGCTGATGCAATTCAGCGCGCGCACAAGGATCGAAAAAAACAGTTAAATGCAGCGCATGCGTATTTGCCCGAAAAACTGAGACCGATTGCTTTTGCAGAAACTGCCGATTTCTAACGATCCAGTCGTTAGAATTTCAAGAAATTTGGCAAAAAAATAGTTTAGAAACCGCGTGAATGATCTATTACAAAAAATCTGAATTTTGACTAGGGAATTTTAATAATACAGAACGTGTTACAGCTATTATCAATTCACAGTAGACGCCTTTTCATCAAGCTACAATATGTCTACAAGATAATTAACAACATTAACTGCCCTAAGCAGTTGACAGGTTACTTAATGAAACGATCACAGAGACATTGTCGATCCTTTAGAGATGCAACATTATTAGATCTACCACAAGTTAAGACCAAATGTGGACAGACCTCGTTTAAGTTTTCGGCTGCGAGTGCCTGGAACAAACTGCCAAGAGAGATTC